CCCCAGGCAGAGCGCCAAGGCAAGAACTCAAGTGAGAGTGAAGTGGTGTGCAGGCTCTAGTGTGCCTCAGTTTCCCCCAGAAGCAAAACCGTACCATGTAGGTGACCAATCCCAGAGCTGAAATGTTTGAATCCTGCTCATGACCCTCCCGAAGCAACCTGCAGGCATTCCATAGGCTGCAAGTTATTCGCGCAAAAGTTCATAGAGCAAGTGAATTAATGAAAAGTGTAGTTCTGAATAGCCAGTTAGCAGGGAACCAATAATTAAATTCACCCAGTAACCTGTTTCACATAGTGGTCTTACCTATTTCTACTTGGCATTTTACTAGGAAAATTCATTCCAGTTGCACAGAGGTAGACTGCAAACTAGCTTGAAGACCACAAGCCTAAGGGGTGATGACCGTGGAGGTATCTCAAAGATCAGTGTGAAATCTGGTCTTATTCAGCGTTTTAATGAATGATATGGAAGAGGAAGTGGATACTAAACAGGGAGCAGCCACGAATGCCAATGAAGATGGAAAACTATTGCAAAGAGCTATAGAGGGATTACATACATGGATAAATAATACAATTGCAAGCTAGTTCATTAGCAGTAATATTACTGAAAGCCAGCAATCCATGGAGAGGAAAAATCCTAGCAAGCAGCATGGCTGAAAAGATTTAACAGTGCAGGAATGAGAGCAAGGTAGCCAAGAGTTTGAAGTGCGATGAGGCAGCAAGACCAATTCAAGTGGCATATACGAAGGCCTAAGTTCTTGGTTATTTCTCTAGGCAGGTGGGGAAGCACTAGGGAGGGGGTGAAATCTCCATCCCTAGAGGTTTTTAAGTCCTGGCTTCAGAAAGCCCTGGCTGGGTTGATTTAGTTGGGATTGGTCCTGCTTTGGGCAAGGGGTTAGGACTTGATGTCTCCTGAGGTCTCTTCCAGCTCTAGGACTCTATGAACAGGGAACTAATAATCCCATTCTAGGGCATCACATCTGGAATACATTGGCATTGCTCCTCTGAAATTTGCACGCGGAAGTCAGGATATAATTTTATCCGCAGCTTGTGCAAATCAGCCGAGCTCCGTGGAGGGAGGCTTTTCACTTGCCAGAGATCCATCCAGAGGGTATGTAAACTTTCTGCTCTATACAAGCCGCCAGCTCAAAGCTACTCACAAGTTGTTCTGCCAGTTCGAAATCTAAATCCTGCAGATTGACTCCGAGAGGCCTGTTGTATGTGAACCCGCGGCCAAACTCTAACTGCATCAGCTCCTCAAATTTTGGTGTTCTCTCCAGCGCCACAAACATGAGAGCCTTCACACCTGGGGGTTGGAACAGAATGCATTTCTTGGGAAAGCGCCAGCAATGTTTGGAAGCATCCACATTGTAAAACCTGTTCCTGTTTGTTCAACTGGAAATCTAAAGAAAATGTTGGCACATGATCATGAACGTGAATGATTTTAGGGGTCTGGCTAAAGCAAAGGGATTGATGAATAATCCATTTGCCCCTCTCGGGATTTGAAAGTCATCATCAGATTTAGGTGCCAATGGGTAGTGGATGGGCTGTACACACACCTAGGCCATTAGCCTGAATCCAGTGTCCTTCATTTAATGGCCCACACATGGCAGCTGTGCATTTGTCTTTATCAAGGTTCCTACTGCTCTCAGCTCATTGGAAGCAGATGGTAGGATGACCAACATTGTCCTCCTGGGGCTAGATTCAAGCTAGCCCATACCTGGGCAGCACAGTCAGGAAGGAGCAGAGGACTGCACCACTCTTGTGTGGGCTGCAGAATATTGGGTCAGATTTCCGCTCCTTCTACCCAGGCTCCACCCCCATAGGAGCCAAGCTCCCCTCCCCTCACCTGGTGCATGGCCTGAGCCTCCCTAGCCCCTGAGCATGAGGAGGCCAGATGCTTGGGGGCAGCAAGACCTCGCCCCCAGTATGCCTACAGTAGGGGGTTTGCGGGTGGGGTCTGGGCAGGGTCAGGCTGGTGTTTTGGGAAGGCCGTGCCTTCCCCGCCTACTATACCTGCCACCCCTGTTGTCAGGGGGACACCTCCAGAGCATTATTCTAAGGGGGAGAGGATTAAAACCAGCACGTGGGTGTGGAAGTCAATTGAATACCAACCTCACCATTCACGGGGCCATCAAAAACCTGGGCCCAGCGCACCTATTAGAAACCCCGGGCCAAATGAAGCAAAATGCAACGTGTACATGGTGGCAGGCTACTAGAATACCTTGTTTTCGCAGTGCGTCCGATTCATCCTCCAGCTGAGCCATCCTACCGTCGGCACCATCGGTTAAGTGAATTACCACCTAGGGAGGAAACACATTCAAGTCAGGTCCCCCTTGTGAAACTCAGCCACGTAGAGCAATGCCAGATTCTCCACTAGTTTCCCTTGATTTATTTCCATGGCCCTCAGTGAGGGACAGAGATTTAGCCTGTGATATTCAGAGCCAATGGTGCAGTACCAGCCTTTCCTCAGGCACACCTTTCTCCTAAGCTCAGATAGGCTCATCCCACTAGTCCCTCCTGCCCTTCAAGGGGATGGATTTTTGGCTTTACATGCCCACTCATGGATCTCAGATGTTTATTTTCCAGTTGGCTAGAGCTCAGTAAAAAAGCTCAAAATGGTATTCGCACACATTCACTGGCATCTCAGTGGGGTAGCCGTGTTACTCTGTAAGATTAAAAACTACTCGCAGGCCTGTGGCACTTTAAAGACTAACAAATATATTAGATCGTGAGCAAAACCCACTTCATCAGATGAGTTGGAATGGAAATAACAGAGTCTAGGGTATATATAACAACAAAGCAGTTACCTATCAGTTTTAGGACCAGAGTTAATGGAGCTAATTAAGTCAGACTGGATGTGTCCCATCCATTGTATCTGATGTGGAAATGTGAATATCAAAGGTGGGAGAAATTGGCTTTGTAGCGTGTTAACCAGTTAATATCTATCTCCAATCCCAAGCTAATAGCATCAGACTTGTGATGCTCAAAATTGTTGTATCCATACAATACATTTTAAAATGCCAATAAAGTGCCACAAGACAATAGTGTTAAGATGATCTAACAAGGATGATTTGTTTATTCATTTGTCTGCAGCAATTAAACTAAACTCTATACAGCAGTATTCCAAGTGAAGAAATAATTGGGGGAAATCTGACATCTAGGGATCTTTGGTTTTCCGTATCAGGAAATCTTTCACACTCTCGATATTTCAGTGGGGCAATTTTCCACTTGGTGTAAACTGGCAGAGCTAAATTCACTTATGTGGAGGTGTGCTTGTTTAAACCTTGCCCAAGGTGTTTCTGTTTTGAAGCCCACAGAGGAACCTCTGCAATGAAAGGAGAACCCAGACTTACTTTCACGCTGTCCGTAGGAGCTGTTTTGAATTTGTTCTGGTAAGATCTCAGTGTCTCTGGTGTGAGAACATATGGGCCTCGGTTGCTCATGCCTTGGAATTTCTCAAACAATTCGGACTGGTACTCAGAAAAGTCAAATGCTTCAATGACCCCAGTTGGCGTCTGCGCCATGACAGCCACTCGCACCGTTGGCTGCTGGGTGCCAGTACAGCTGATCCTTTGCATCTGGGAAATTCTGTTCAGAATGCTCTTTACCTTGGACTCCAAGGCTTTCTGAGAATTAAATATATTTTGCCCAGATACAACATCCGAGACGTCAAACCCAAGGATCACATCCACGTTGCATTCTGGAGAGGAAAAATATGTAGACTCATCAGACACAGA